TTAATCCAGATTTTCCTCTTGTTGAACTAACTCAGGAATGGAAAACAACCTTGGTGAGGAAATGGGACACTGAATAGGGATACTTCCTACCAGCCCAAGACTAGGGTTAGGGAAGGACTCACTTATTGGTAAGAAAGGATTTTTGCCTCTGCAGACCTTTACTTAGACCTGTACTTAAATGAGGTAAAAAGTGAGAAAGCAATATTTCTGAAGTGCCTACAAACCTGAGGAGTCTTTCTCCATTTGTATGTTACTCAAGATCTCAAAATGCCACAACTCTTTAAAAGGGCTCCTTCTCTCCTTTGTATCGGTGACTTGCAACATGCTATTTGAATCTTTCAGTAGGCTGATCTGTTTGGCTAATGCTATAACCCAAATTAATTGTTCTTTCCTCCATGTTTTTATCTTATCACAGTAGTCAGCATATCTTGCCTTGTATTATACTTACATGTGTACATGTAGTCTTCTCCCAGACTAGCCATTACTTGAGAGTGAAATTTTAGCCTTACCCATCTAAATATCCCCTGAGTGCTTGTCTAGTGAATGCCTAATTGTAATGCCTATTGACTTAAATGGAATTTAATTAAATGGGGTTTGTTTTATTCTGCTAAGACTGTAGTAGATGTAGGCACAAGTCTGATTCTTTTCTTATAACCACCATTTTCCCCTGTTATGGATATATCAAATTACCACCCTTCACATCTCCTCCAGATTAATTTGTCTTGAATGAGCCCCTACTTGACCACAGCTGATTAAATTCCCCCAAGGGAACTCAGCCACATAGGTTTTGTTTGTTTGTTTTTTGGTTGCAAAAAGCAGAAAGGTGCATATGCAACAGAGACCATCTTAAATACGAGAATTGTTAGAGTAGCTCACAGAATCGAAGGTATCACTGAACAAGCGAGCTTCAGGAGGCTGGAAACCAGGACAATTCTGAGGACTCGAGCATTGAGAACTCAAGAACTCTTTGACCCAGAGCACCCCAAGGCACCTCCACTTAAGACTCAAATTCTAAGGATCTGTGTAAGCCAACTGGATTCAATAATGTAACTCTGTGCTCAGGAAACAGGTGGTTCCTTTTTGTTTTTTGTTTTTTTTTAAATCAGAAATTGGAGTTAAGAGGATGCAGGGAGAGTGGTAGACAAACGGAAACGAGTGTTACCATAGCAATCTATTAGAGGGCAAACTAAGCCACCAGGAGTCTCTCAAGAATGTAAATTTAGAGGCCAAACAAACAAATGTTATGAGTGACTTTTGGCTTAAATATCATGTAGACTAAGACTGGAGGCGCAGTGGAGAAGCAGGGAAAACTGAGAGCTGAAAGAAGCAAAATGAAGGATAAGACTGAGCATCCCCTAAGATGGACAAGGTGGCTTCATTTCCTAATGGTTTCTCCTCTTCTTTTCCTTGAACCTACCAATGTGTGGTTATTTTCCTTGCAATATTGTGTTGTAAGATATCCTTCCAATTTATAAACAGAAAGGATAGTAATTCCTTCATGTTAGAATATTTAGCTATAGAATAATAGGAATCAAAATTATCTTAGATATCAAAGAGTACAGAAAATCAAAGATAATCTGAGGCAACAAGACACAAATCCCACTTGTCAATTCTGCCATTTGGTGATCATGATGGTAGTGATTTGAGATATGTCTAGCTAAGTACCAATCACTATTTTAAGCATTTACATGTATTGTTCTCTCAAAAGCTCTGAGAGATAGGTAGGATTATTAGCCTCATTTTACACATAAGAGAGCTAAAGTATAGAAATAAAAAGTAATGGAGCCAGGATTCAAATTTCCCAATTCAACATCGAAGCCTAAATTCTTGAAAGTGCAGGTCTCTTCACAGACTTCAGAAATTCCGCAGCATACAAGAAATCTTAAGTTTTAGGGTGGTTCAAAACCTTTTAAATCCCTTTGAGTCAAAAATTTCTCTTTTTTTCCAGATCCTATTCAAATGTCAGTGTTACTATTTAGCCTTGGATATCTCCATTAAAGGCAACTTCTTTCTGGACCAAGAAATAAAGCTTTACATCAGCAGCTTCCATAACAGCAATAATATGAATGACCATTTACTGAGCAATTGCAATGCACCAGGATTATGGTTTATGAGCACTTTATGTTTATTATCTCACAACTCACTGAGTTAGATACTCTTCGCAACCCAGTGAGGTAAATACTATTACTTCCACAGTATATATTATTATATAATAAAATGCTTAGAATATACACACAGTAACTAAACAATACTTATAAAATATGGCTCTAGATATGTTTGATAAATATTTGCCGAATGAAAACATGAAGGACTCAATTAGCAATATCTCTCTGCAACCTTTAGCCCTTGAGAAGCATGTAGAAAAGAGGAGCTGTCTTCTCCTTTAGCAAAACTTCTGTCAGAGATGGTTTCCCCTGACTTAGACAGTTGTGTTTTTTTCCCTACAGAATGATTCAGTCTCAGAATTATTCTTTAATCCTCAATATTTCCATTAAGAAGAGCTTCTATGAAGTGCTTCAAAAGTACCCAATGTGAAGGAGTAATAATGACTCCCTGCTGGTGAGCGAAGTGTGGAGGACACAGGTCCCTTATCCATCCACTGGATGCTGCCCTGTTTGGCCTGAGCCAGTGTGGGCAGAAATACAGATGCCAAGAACCTGTCTTGCTTCTATTTTCACTGGGTTACTATATCTCCTTTGTAGTTCAACCTGCAAATTACTTTGAGAAGAAGAGCTACACCTCTGGACCAATGTAGTAATATATTTGTATTCCTTGCCAAAGTAGGAAAAAAAATACAGAATCTTTCAAAATTGAACTCGAGGGCAACTAATTTAAATTCCTTTCCTTTCATGTTGAAAATCTTTTGACTGGGTTATTCTGAAGCCATAGCATTAGGTTACAGTTTACTTCTCTGTTACTTTACCATCTTTAAATTTGGCACCTTCAGAAGGTTGTTCTGTGCGTTTTAAAAAAAAAAAAAAGGAACTACAGTTGGATATTGTATTGTTGATGACCATTATTGGATTTTGGATTCTTTTGTGTGTTTGGGTCTCGGTTTTTTTGGTGGTTGTTTGTTTTCTAGAGACGGGGGTCTCACTATGTTGTCCAGACTAGATTCGAGCCCCTGAGCTCAAGGGATTCTCCAGCCCCAGCCTCCTGAGTAGCTGGGACTTCAGGCACCTGTCACCACGCCCAGGGACAGTTACTTGATTCTTAATAGTCCAGTCATAATGAGACAGGATACTGCATAAGCCAAAGACCACACAAAGTATCAATGTTAAGTGTCAAGAGGGTGTGGAGGAAGTGGGTTACAACCACTTTGTCTCCCAACTGTTGTATGTTTTGCCTTTAAGTTTTTTTTAAGTACATTAAACTGTAGTGTATTCAGATGTGGCTGAAACAACGACAAAACATTAGTTTTCTTTAAATATGCATGACTTTTAAGCTTTTTCCCTTTCCCAGTGACTTGCTTCTCCACTAAGCTCTTTTTTTCTCTTTTTTTTTTTTTTCTCAAATATTATTGTTTCATGTCACTGTGACAGGTTTAGTCTACTGGAAATTCCTATGTTCTCTGTAATTTAGGTTTTAAGCAACATATGATTTATCTTGTTATTTTAAAAAAAACTATCTGTCTTCCCTAAGTGGGTGACTCTGGCATCCTTAATATTCTTCTATAGAAATTGTGATGAAAGAACAGATAAGCCTAAGTAAATCTAGCGTGTGGAGCTCCTTTAAAATGTGAAGATTGTCAACTGGTTAAAAGTAAAACTTGGTTTTGTCCTAAATATCCTTGCTGGGCCTATTATGCATTTAAAAAGGGGCCACAGCCCATTTGCAAGGCTTCTGAATGAACTCCATTCATTCTGTACTTGGAAATGTCTCTTCAGCCACAAAAAGAAACAATAGTTATAACCTAATTTCTTTGGCGCCAATATCAGCAGAAGAAGAGCCAAGAGACCATTATGAAAACTCTAGTAAGTTCTCTTGGTGATTATATAATTCTGTATTCATTGATCATATTTCTGTATTTAAATAAGTACATTTTAAAAAACGTTATAAAGTGGATCGGTAATGCTGTAATATCACATTTCATGTATTATGCAACGTTTTTTAAATGGAGTACTCTAAAGTAATTTGCTTCTTACGGTTACCAAAGTTTAAAAAATACCCTAGCATGCACTCCGAGATTTTAAGAGGAAAGCCTTTGTGCTTTTCATTACTGTATTTTGAAACCTGAGAGTGCAAAACCAATTTTCTTAGGTAAACCCCTTAGTCAGTTTCCACATTTACCTGTAAAAGTCAGTGGAGGGCATACATCTGGAAGTAGTAGTGGTGGTACACAATGTGTGTTAATATGATTTCCAAGGGGTATCTAGAGTGAACTTTCTTAAGCACAGATCTGATCTGAGCATGCCGCTCCTTTCTTAAAACCTTTCGTTGATTTTCCATTTCCCTAGAAGGAAAGCCCACTGGAGCATGGGCCTTGCAAAGTGCTCTTTCTGGCTTCTGCCTACCTGCCTTTGCAGCTTCACCCCTACCATCTTCCCTGAATGAACTTTTGTCAGTGGCCTCGCTCTTTCTTCCTATGGGATGTTGTTTCTGCATGTTCTTGCAGGGAATTCTCTTTCTCCCAACCCTGTTTCATTCCTTTAATCTGTACAACTCTTTCTTATCCTGAAGTCTTTACCTTAAGGTTGCCTTTTCAGGAAGACTTTTAATTATATTAACTAATTAGTTAATAAATAGTCTGATGTATTTGGAGCTGAGTTTCTATGGGGATTAGTTGCTGGAGGGTAGTTTAGAGCCAGATTGTGAAGGACTTTCTAAACTGTGCTTTCAAGGTTTTGAACAGGAAAATGATGTAGGCTCTCTGTTTTTTAAAAGTTTGGAGGATGGCTTGTGTCTTAAAAGAATATGTAACATAACCATTTAATTTGTGAGTAGTGGACTAAGGAAACACCACTGTAACCGTTTTCTCTCTGCGATAATCCCATCTTCAGCCTCTCAAGCACTGTGAACAATCACTTTCTCTGGCTGTCTTCTTGGAGCCCCTGCTAATTCATTATTGAAAAATACCTGCGGCCTGCATTTGGCCTTATGTTGTCATTTACTTGGTAAGTAATGCTAAATATAATATTAACTAAAATTAAAAGACCATTAAATTATTGGATAGTGTCTACTATAGTGGTTAAGAGCACAGGCTCTGGAGAGATCTGATTTAAAATTTGCTTTGCTCTGCCACTTGCTAGCAATATAGATGTGGACAGGCTATTTAGATAATTTTCTTAGCAAAATAAACTTGAACTGAAGGGTAAGAGATTGAGGCAAGGAAGGTAGACCCTAAAGCAGTTTGCCAAGTACAAAATCTCTTGGAATTTGAGTGTTATCTAAAAATCCATGTGAATCTCGTATTCTTTTCCACAATACATTTCTGTTTGTTTTAATATAAAAATACTTTTAAGTTGGAGGAGGGGGTTAAGTGGGTTGGTGATTATTGCCTCAAATTTTCTGTACAATTATTTCTCCAGGAAAACACACATTGCTTATTCATGGCTTGAAGCAGTCTTTTCTTTTAGACATACTTTTATATTACACAAGCATGTGAACAGACTAAGGAAATTACCAGAAATGTAAATATAATATCTCATTAGAGCAGAAATTCTGCATTGATCTTCAGCCACAGATTTACAGTGTTTACCCCAATATTACTATATTCTAGCTAAAATGTTAAAAATCTAGCACAATAGTGTTACAAAATAAACTGATTATTTCCTTCCCTTCACCATGTATACATCTAGATTATTCCATTCTTTCTAGTTACTCTTACAGGAACCTCAAGAGGCATGCTGGTTTATCTCTTTTCCTGCCTCCCCCCAAATATTTTAGTTAAATATTTTATTGTTTATACAATCCATCCTAAACATGTAATTCTTTCTATCACTTCTTTTCTTTTCTGTTTATTTCATGCAGTCAGCAGTCCATTTTAGGCTTTTGCCATTTTTTCTTGCCTGTAGTATCACTGTGAGTTCAAGAATGAGTTTTCTATATACATTCTCTTTCCTCTTTTGTTTGAGCTGTGAACTGTATTCTTTCATTGTCTCTGCATCAGCTACAAAATTAAGTATTGATTTCCAAAACAGGCCTGCCTTCCCCATGTTATGCTTACCTTCATTTCCAGCCCAAAATATTCCTTTACTCTCCTTAATGGTCCATCCTTTACAGCCAAAATGAACCTTCCACTCTTCCCTGAGCATCCACCGACTCGCTTGTCTCCAGGCCTCAGCACCAATTATTCCCACTGCTTGTCACTACTGTGTACATTGCCCAAAGCCTGTCGCACAGGCCTCCTTTTCCTCCATAAATCCTTCCTTGATCATCCCAGCTGAATGTGTGGGGTCTCCCTCTCCTTTCATTGTTTCATTTATGGCACAGATGTTTATCAAATGCCTGGTGTACATCAAGCGATAAACCAGTGCTAAGGATTTAGTAATAACTAGGGCAGAATTATTACCCACTCTAATGGAGGTTATAATCCAACACAAAAGTGGTGTTGATAACTAATTTCAAGTTTCATGTGTTTTCCAGGGTCTGGCAGGGTGTTTAGAAGGCTACACCTTAGGCTGGGGGTCAAGAATGTCTTCCCTGATGTGAGGTTTACACAGAGATCTGAAGAATGAAGAGTCCAGCTAAGTGAAGTGGGAGCGGATTAAGGGAATGCAAGGACATGAAAGAGTGTCCTAGGCAGAAGGAACAACATATGCAAAGGCCGTGAGGTGGGAGTGAAGAAGGAACATTTGAAGAACTGAGAGAAGGTCACTGTGGAAAGCCAGATGCTGTGTGATATGAATAATGCAACAGGGGAAATTGAGATATTAGCAAAAGAGGGATTGATGACCCATGGGCTTGAAGATGTACTGGAACTAAAGTAAGGAGCGAGGATAAATTAAAAGAGGGAGAAACTGGAGAAACAGAGTGCTTGGAGACCGTGATGAATTTGAGAAAAGGATGGTGATAGAGTTGACCTAGCCAGCTAGAAGGGTAGTGCTTTTTAGTCAGTGAGCCCTCCATCCCATTTCTCATTAAATCTTGTAATGCTTTCTCACTTCCTATATTCTGTCATATTTTATAGTTGTTTATATAATTATCTTATTTTTATACCAATTATAGTTTCCCTGGGTGCTTATTATGGGTTAACAATTATATTATTATTAATAATATGGGTAAATGTTCACAAAGAAAGAAGTCTTTGTTGCTATTCTTATTTCTTTCTTTAATCTTTGATCAGGGGTTTTTATTTATGAATTCATCTTATATATCACTTGACAGACACTGAATGCTGAATGCCACAGAGTACATGACACTTTAGCAGCATAAAGAAAGGCACCAAAACCAAACAGCAAACTACATGCTACAAAACAACAATTTTTGGAATTAATGAATGAGGCTAATTTTCTGGAGTCCTCTCTCTCTTTCAAAATATAGCAAGTGTTAGTATGGCCGGGCATGTTGGCTCATGCCAGTAATCCCAGCACTTTGGGAGGCCGAGGCCGGCAGATCACCTGAGGTCAAGAGTTTGAGACCAGCCTGGCTAACCTGGGGAAACCCTGTCTCCACTAAAAATATAAAAATTAGCTGGGCATCGTGGCACGTGCCTGTAATCCCAGCAACTCAGGAGACTGAGGCAGGAAAATCACTTGAGCCTGGGAGGCAGAGGTTGCAGTGAGCTGAGATTGCAACACTGCACTCCAACCTGGGCAACAGAGTGAGACTCAAAAAAAAATGTAGGAAGTGTTAGTATGTCTAGGTCTATTCACAGGTTTGGAAGGAGAATGGGGATAGAAGACAGAGCAGAAAATTAGTGGTAGGATTCAGTAGATCAGATCTCTTAGCTTCTTAGTACCTTTGATATTTAGTCCAGTTACTGAATTGCTCTTCAATTCTCCACTTAGAACTTCTTTTCATTCCAGTGGGATTGCTTCACACTTATGAGAATTAAGGTACTTATACAAAGCCATTTTCAGAAAGGAATCACTAATATTATTAATAAACACATATTTGTTTTTCTGTTACATTGAGTTCATTGAATCTCATTTGTATTTTCTTCATATGTTACCTTATACAGATATAGGCCGGATGTCCCTGTTTTTTCAGCTGGCTGTTAGATAAATTCACCATACATTCACTTTCAACCTTGTGTGTAAAAATAAAATTAGTTACATGAAGTAGTCATCCACATGACATAAGATACCTAATTTTAATAGGAAATAATATTAGAAGTGTAACTCTTAGAAAATGTTAGTGATCATCATCTTCTTCTATTTTTTCTCCTAGGTACTTCCTAAGGGTGGCTACTCCAATGTAGCTGTAGTATATGTACTGAAGGAAGATCCTCTCATACTGCCACAGCCAACAGATAAAGTTGTGAATCTTTTTTGGGAGAAGCCGTTAAGGACAGGTCTGTGAAATGGAAGAATCTCTGGATCACTACAAAGTCTGGCTCAGTGACTATGGCTTTGCAAACACTAAACATTCCTATCTCAAGTCCTGTAGATGACTTGAAGTAGCATACACAAGCATGCCTTATAAACATCTTCAGTCTTTATCAACTCTTTGGAGATTCAGCCATTCTTTTTTGTACTTCAGGGAATTAAATAATTTTATAATGTGGTATAAATCTGAGCATGGCAGATGGTAGAAGAAATTTTGTCATATATTTTTAAAGAAATAAAAATGTATTATGTTTTAAAATTCCTTTAGCTGTTTTTCTTACAAAGCTCCCAACAACGTAGTTACCAAGTAAATTATCTCAGATGTGATTTTTCAGTCCTTGCTAATCTGTTTATAAAATCTTTTGCTATTTTGTAATTTTATCATTTATGTCTGTCCTTAAGTGTTCATTTGTTTTTATGTCTCTGTATGTCATGTTTATTTGAGCTGTTTAGTGTAAAGTAAAACAAGAACTCCCTGCATCTTATAGCATAAAAAGCAATGTTTTTCACATTCTTACCCTAATAGAAACCCGCATTCACAGAGTGATGGCTAATGCTCTACCTTTCTGCAATTCCTAGTCATAGAACTGTCCAAGTCTCACATGACCTGCCTCTTGAAGAAGAAATATACCACGAGTTACTTCCTAGCTATACAGGTTAAGAAACTCAAATGACCCACTAACTAAATGTTGTTTCTTAACAAAAACACTATGGTCTATCATCATAACAATGTCAACTTCTCACATCATCATTTTGAATCAACAACATGCCATCATATCAAAGAGAACTTATCATGTTAGCATATTGAATATAGAATTACAGTACAGCTATTTCCAAGACCTAAATGAGTGTCGTATATAAGAAGAGCAGTGGTTTAGAAATAAGGCGATCTGACATGCTTATCTCAGTTCTGCTATGGGTATTTAAGGCTAATTATTTAAATTCTCTGGGCTTTACTTAAAAAGGGAAAAGAAGTAGAGGCATGCCCATTCCTTTTAAGAATATGACCCAGAATTTCCATGCATCATTTCTGCTCATGTACCTTTGGCCAGAGCGTAATCAGTTTGTCCCAGGTAGTAGGAAAGGAGGCTGGAATATGTGGCCTTTAGCTGAAACTTCGAAGATTCTAAAGGAATTGGACTATTGAAAGACAAGTAACGGTCTTTGCCATTGCTTTCTTATCAAGAAAGCAAATGCTCTCTCAGACCCTCCTCCCCTGCCCCACTGAGTGATTCCATCAGATGAATCACTATCTATGGCAGCATACCATTATGAAAACTGTGCAGCAGATTTCTGCTTAGGCCATAATTGAGCATATAGTTACCCCTAGATTTAAGGAAGCTGGGGAAGCAGGAAACAGAATTGACATGATTGGCTTTGACCAAAGTTTCACAAACTTTCTTGGTTCACAGCTCCCTTGGGTTCTTAATAGTTTTTTTCATGGTACTAAAAAAATACATAAAAGCTTCATTTACAATTTAATAACCATTTGAACTACGATACATAAGTTGGAAGAAAAGTAATACCTTGGTCATTCTTAGATAACCACAGTTACTACTGGGTTATATATACCTGTGGGGCACTCTACAACTTCTCAAACGTTGGACTCAGATAGGATGGTGCCACCCTTATGTCTTGCCAGGCAGTGCTTGCTTTTTATCACAGCAACTCCTGAAAACCCAGCTTTGCAGTGACATAATATTCTAAAGAAATGTAGCATGGTCTAACATGGAAACTGTGAATCACCCCAAGCTAAAAGCTAATAGTGGGCATGCTGTCTGGCAGAGGTTGAGTCCCTATTTCCCTTGAAAATTTGAATATATTATAGCCTCACCAGTGAGTTTACTTTAACACCTTTGAGGGCTGGGCACACAGTTTGGGAACCATGGGTTTAGACTAATCATCGTTTATTTTCTGGGCTGGACATATTGCTCCCTAGACAAGAATTAGTCTTTTAGTGGGGAAGAAAGAAGAATGGAAACTATTTAGGAAACTGACTATTTCGGCCCCCCTGTATTCCACTTAAACTACATGATCTTTAAGAAGAGACACTATGTCTGTTTTTACACACTGTTTTCTGTGTGGCATAGTTCTGGGTACTTAGAAGGAACATAGAGGCTGCGTACAGTGGCTCAAGCCTGTAATCCCATCACTTTGGGAGGCTGAGGCATGCAGATCCCTTGAGGTCAGGAGTTCAAGACCAGCCTGGCCAACATTGCAAAATACCATCTCTACTAAAAAATACAAAAATTAGTCAGGTGTGATGGTGCACGCCTGTAGTCCCAGCTACTTGGGAGGCTGAGGCAGGATAATTGCTTGAACCTGGGAGGCGGAGGTTGCAGTGAGCTGAGATTGTGTCACTGCACTTCAGCCTGGGTGACAGAGCGAGAGCGAGACTCTGTCTCAAAAAAGAAAAAAGAAAAAAGAACATACACATTTATTAAATGATTATGAAATGATTATATGATCAATGAAATATGATTAATAGTATTAACCAACCATAAAATGCCAGCTCATAGGAAATTTGTTGCCTATACAACAGGCTTCTGTGTACATTCAAGGACCTGGACTATGCCTTCCTAGTTTCATACCACCAGTGCCCAATAATTATTTGGTATATTGTAGGTGAGAGAAAAATGTTGATCAAATGAATGGGTGAATGTCTCAGTGAGAGCTAGTTCTGTCCCAAACACCATTACAAAGGAGTTTCATTACATGCTAATAAAAATGCTTATTAGTGGACTCTTAATGTAAATCCTCATGTTGACTGCCAAGAAAGAAAAATAACCACTTTCTCTTATCACTATGGATCTAAGGCTTTTTTTGTTACCACAGTCACCACGAGAAAAACTGACAAAAGGAGAAAAGCAGAACTATTCTGAGATATAAGATGAAGTTTTCTTAAAATGGTTTATATTGTCAGCAGCTGAACTGTTTCACTATTCAGGATTATTACATAAAGCCCGGAAAGTGACTATTTTCAAAAGAGCTACCAAACTTTATAAGTATAAAGATATAATCAAACTTTATAAGTATGATTACTATATCATTTGAGCAAAATGTATCTTTCTCCTTTTTCTTGTTCCATAGCCCAAATTGGTTTTTGTCTATTTTCGTGGTTTTGCCATTCTAGCTCACTCTGTTTTCTTGGGAAGCCATGCAAGCTCTTTGGTTTCCATGATTGTAAAGTGTATGGCTCTGTGACAACTCCATAGAAGAATGCATATGTGCTAGTGCATTAGATTTGTCTAGATCTAAAAATTATCTATGGTTAGTTGATTGTTTTCAGTAATATATTTAGAAAACTATGTGTCTGTCTCTATTGCTAAATCAAAGGTATTTTGAAGGCAGGGACTATGCCCTTTTTGGTTTTGAATCTCCAGAGCATTGCATCTGAACTCTGGGTACAGAGTAGGTGCCCAATTCATATTTGTCGAGTTAATAAACGCTTTCTTCGCAAAATTTTCCCAATAGCACAGTACAGAGTTTGTTCACAATAAATACTGAATGTATTTTTATTTTGTGAGAGCCTAAATCGTTTTTAATTCTTTCAATGTTCCTGAAAACTAAGAGACAGGATTTATTCTTCCTCTTTTCTAAATGGAAAAATGTAATTATCCTTAATGATGGATATCAAATATTGAATTTGTACTATACAAGAAATAATTTATTGACTTAAAATGTTTTAAAGCGTTCTTTCTTTTTTTGAAGAATATTATATTTGTTTGTTAATGTATTTCTTTTTTACCAGTTTAATAAAAGCTCTTGCTGGGCATTTCTACATGTTCAGGGGCCAGACTGATGTTGCAGTTGTATGTTCTATAGTTTATTTCAAAAATGCATTTTTATTTATTTTTTGAGCATGAAAGTAATATATGCTCAGTGTAAACAATTAAGTCATTATAAATATATTTAACAGGAATACCAGAGATAACTTCTGTTAATAATTCAATGTATTACTACAATTTTTTTCTATGAATTTAATATAATAATATTGTTGGAAATTTTGATACAATTATTTAAGTGAAATTTAATCATACTGCACATACTATTTTGGAGTTTTTTTAATAGCGTATTTAAACTTTTAAGTGCAAAAGATTTTCAAGACTAGCAAATATAAATCTACCTTATTCTGTGTAATTACTAGAGCCTACATTCAGATGTTTGCAGGACCCGATCCTCCTACTTTAAATTACTTACAAATTTAAATTTGTAATTAAATTGTTTATATAATTGTAGTTTTCATATCTGTATCCCTAAATATATTATAAATTCCATGCCTAACACATACCACATGAAACAGTACATATAATGGCAAAAGGTGCTATGAATGAATGAATGAGTAAATGGTGGTATTGCCCAGAACTTTCTTTACAAAGCCTGTGCTCTTTCCACAATGCCACACTTCCTCCTCTTAGTGGTTCCTTTATATACTATGGAAATTTTCATAATATCATTATTAATGGTTACATTATTTTGAGTTTTATTACATATGTTTAGGTCAATTGTGAAGGCAGAACTAAGCAATTTAGAAATTCAGAAATATAGGAATAATAATTATATACAGACACACCTTGAAGATATTGTGAATTTGGTTCCAGACAAGTGCAATAAAGTGAATATTGCCACAAAGCCAGTGACACATATTTCTTGGTTTCTGAGCACATATGGAAGGTATGTTTACACTATACTATAGCCTATTACATGTGCAATAGCATTGTCTAAAAAGGTACGTAACTTAATCAAAAATACTTTATTGCTAAAAATTGCTAATGATCATCTGAGCCTTCAGGGAGTGAATCTTTTTGCTGATGGGGGGTCTTGCCTTCATACTGATGGCTGCTGACTTCTCAGAGTGTTCAAGACTGGGGTGGCTGTGGCAATTTCTTAAAATAAGACAGTGAAGTTTACCATATCAGTTGGCTTCTTCTTTCACAAAAGATTTCTCTGTAGTATGCAGTGTTTTTTTAATCCCATTTTACCCACAGTAGAACTTCTTTCAAAATTTGAGTCAGTTCTCTCAAACCTTGTCACTGCTTTATGAACTAAGTTTATATAATATTCTAAATCCTTTGTCATTTCAATAGTGTTCACAGCATCTTCACCAGGATTAGATTTCATCTCAAGAAATGACTTTCTTTGCCCATTCATAAGAAGCAACTGCTCATCCAAGTTTTATAATGAGATTGCAACAATTCAGTCCCATATTCAGGCTTCATTTTATATTCTTGTTCTTTTGCTATTTCTATTACATCTACAGTTACTTCCTCCAGTGAAGCCTTGAACTCCTCAAAGTCATTCATGAGGGCTGGAATCAACCTCTTCCAAACTCCTATCAATGTGGATATTCTGACCTCCTCCCATGAATCATGAATGTTCTTAATGGCA